ATGTGGTGTTTTATGTTTTGTTTTTGTTGTTGTTTTTTTAATGCAGTTAAACATTGGATTTAACACGAAGTGAGACACGATTTACGCGCTGACAACACAAGTCGGGACCTTTGCGCAATGAAATAAAAGGTTGTAATTTAGACGAACTGGTATGAGTCCATTTCAACAAGGGAAAAAACAAAAAGAAAACACAAATCACAGTCCACCACTTTCAATTTCCACCTGCGTGATGAGTTATGACGCCGCATATAAAGTGCACACGTGCGCATTTTATCGCAAATTGCGGAGCAGCAGCAGGCGTGTGTGCAGCAAGCAGAAATACTCCTGCAAACATCACTTTTACTGCATTTTCTCTGTTTGCTTTATCTGTCCACAAAATCTATTTTTCCCCACTATGCTGGAAAAGTTTTTTAAAAAAATAATTGAATATTAAAATAAGTGAAATCTATCTAAAATTGGATGTAGCGCACAGCACAAATAAAATGTTTAAATCCGACTAAGCTGTGGAAATATTGTAGATAACATATCAAGAAACGTCACCCTGAGTTTTTTTTTTTTTTTTTTTTACAGTTTTTATTTTTTTATTCATTGGACTGAAAAGTAAAGAAACTAGTAACTTCCAGCATGTTTAAACCATATTTACGTTGCGACGACGACGGCCACGGGTCGCGTTATCACTGCGTAATTGGCTGTAATTACAGCGAGCAGACAGCGCAGAGCCATTTGAGGACAGGAATGTGACTGCAGGGTGCATGATATTAGTGTCAGGGCAGAGCTGCAGAGTGGGTTGAGGTCTACTTGCGTCGGTGTGTGTGTGCAGGAGGGTGTTGAAGCAGTTTGCAGACTGCCTCTAGAATCAGCCCCTAGCGTCAGACATCAGTATTAGCCTGGCTGATTACTCTTAACTATCGGATCAGCATCTTGAACGGTGCAGTGTTGGCGAGCCCGAAACGCGGTCAGGCGTATGGACAGGCGGTGGTAGCTCCGATCGGGATCCCTCTTCGTTTACATCCCTACAACTAAATAAAAAAAGAAAGGGGGGCTGCTGCACAGGCGAGACTGTTTCGGCACGTAGCTGGCCTCTGTATCTGCGTTCCGGTGCCTCCAACTACGAGGGCCTCTTCAGTTTACAGGGGGAAAAGTGGGTGTTTGCTGCTTCACTGGTGTTTCGGCAGCGGCAGCGGCGGCGGTGTCCTCGATGGCAGGCTGGAAGGACGGCTCGGTGCAGGAGAAGTATCGCCTGGTTGTGGTCGGAGGAGGTGGCGTCGGGAAATCAGCCCTGACTATCCAGTTTATCCAGGTCAGTAGCGGTAAACCTTGCAGTTGAAGCGAATGTAAGCCTCGCTCTGATTTCCACGCTCGCCCGAAAAAACACGGCCAAACAAGGAGGGAGAGGCCGGACACGGGTATCCGTCCGTAAACGGACACCGGGGTCTGTTTTTCCTCACTACTTTGCCGAGGCCTGCGACTGTCGGACGGATGGGGAGGTTTTAGTGCGAGATATGGAGAATTAAACGTCTGTCACTTTAATGCGACGATTTCCGAGAGGACCACTTCCACTTTGCAGTTTGTACAGCCGCTAGTCATAAGAGAAAGGAAAGTGGGTCTTTGGAGCTTAAAGAGTTGTCCTATTTTCTTGTACCTAAGTTTCCCTGCAAAGTAAAGCAGCGGATTTAGAGTTCGTGCTAAGTTGTTAGAAGTCCTGTGATTTTCTTTGAGAGGGGGTGCACTGGCCCACCAAGCCACACAATGTAATACTTCAAATAGAAGGATGCAAAAGCTGTACAAAGTTGGTACATTGGTGTCTCTCTGTGTCACTCTCAAGAGGGAAAAGTGCGTTTGAGTTCTTTTTAAGTGCCACCAAAACGGATCCTCCAGATCTCACTGGAAATATGTGAACTAGACAGAGAAAATCCGTTCAGGTTGGGTGACTGTAAAATAAGCAGCAGCTGCACAAAATGTCCATTGAGAGATGATTAACTTTTGTGCTCTGATGCAGAGTCTCACCAAGTCTGCTGGTTAACCTCGTTTCAAGCTGAAACCAAAGGCAAGCAAGCGCACTAATATAGATAATCTATAGAAATGAAAGGTTGCTTCCACCACTCTTAATCAGTTTTACAGCAGCCTGCTTGAAGAAAACTTGCTGGGTGTCACATATAAAAGGCATGTAAACAGTTTACCTCCCTGTAAAGCCTGGTTGCATTCCAGCACAGTGCAGACACTGCTCTGACCTTCCAGGCTTTCATAATCGCCATTTAGGAGAGGGCCCAAACACACACACACACACACACACACACACACTGTAAGAAAGAGATGACATTCTTTGCCCTTTGCCTTGTGTGTGTGTGTGTGTGTGTGTCCCCACCATGGTGTCACTGTGTTACTGATGCTTGCTCTGGATTGCAAGAGACAAGACAGGCAGGCAGCTGTGTGTCTCCACACTGACAGACAATAGTTGGGGGGGTGTGTGTGGATGGATTGTGAAGCTTGTGAGCAAATGTGTGTGTTGGGTGGGTGGGGGAGAGTTGTATCCTAATGAGGGTTCAAAAAGCTCATTAACTGCATACCAAGTAGGAAGGGATCAGATAGACCTGAACTGGGTGGAAACACTTGAGATGTTATGGTAACACCACTGGAATAACGCTGATAATGTCATTGTGAGTTTTCTCATTTGTAGTTTTGCTTGTCATATGTAATAATCGTTTAAAGCGTGCTTCATATATGCACTAGGTGGGCCTGGATTTAGTAATAAAGTTTTCTCTAAGGTCTCACAGACTCATTTTCAAATCAGCTAGCTGACTGCTGACTGAGGATTTTGCTTGGATGTCCCCTTTTATATGTATCTTGTACTCAGCAGCTCCCTCACTTAATCACAGCGTGTGTTTTTCTTACTGCCGGCTTGCACGTCTTGTGCCGTGATGGTGATAGAAATAGTAGGTGGAGAACTGACAAACTCTTCAGAGGTTTCAAGAAGTCGCCTGCTGTGCTGTGTTGGGGTGGACCTGACAGCTGGTTGTGAAGTCGAGGCGATACTCAGAACTATGCTGAGTGTTGTGAGTTTGAGGGTGTGTGTGTGTGGTGGTGGGGGTGGAGGGGTCAGAGGGTGTCTGAGTCAGCCTGGATGGGTTAATGGTCACGGAGCATGTGGAATTTGGCCCTTTGGCAGAGGAAGTCCCTCTACTGCTGCTCTTAGGACCTCCTAGTTCTGTATGGAAAAACATGACCTGCTTCCTGAATCACTGGAATTCTGTGCACGTGTGCGTTTGTGTGTGTGTGTGTGTGTGTGTGTGTTAGTTGTCACTTTGACTAGTACTAATTTTAGTTTTATGTGTTTTACCAAAAACATAAAATACTCGATGAAGTGACTGCAAGTGTCTCAAGTCTCAATATATCCCAAATACCCTTCTTTGGTTAGATTTCTCTTTAGCAAACGCTCTTTTTCCACTAATAGATTTTTCCTACATTGCTCGTTAATGTGCTTTTAATCACCTTTATGGTATGAAATATTGCTCATAGTTTTAGCCTCAGCTGCTGGTGAAACAGGTTAACGTCATTTATTATCTTGTCAGTAACCCTCTGAGGTCAGAGTCGTCATCAGTGACAACTCCAACCCTAACCCTGACCCACATCCTGTACTATCAGAACTTTTTGTTCTACGGTTTCAAAAAACAATTGTTCCCTCAAGTGTTTGGAATTGGGGAACAAAAAAAAAGTTTGGATTTCTTTAGAAAAGTGCGGTGGGTTATGGTTAGGATTGGGAGTCATCACAGATTAAGACTGTGACTAGAAGATCTACTTCTAATAAACCAGTAACAATGAGATATTTAAGGTATTTTGTTATCTACTTCCATTGGATCCATATATCTAGATCATCCTCTTGTGGCATCACAGTTTAGAATTTTGTTTGTGTGCTGAAATGTTTGTCGTTGTTGTTCGTGTGTTGGGGTGGCTGTGGGTGACCACAATGCACCAGCACAGTAGGCATTTTTAAAAGCACTTCGTCAATGTGGCCAATCATCTGATGCCAGCTTTTTTAGTTATTCCGCGAGCACATTTTAATCACTTGCTAGTCCTAAGGTGTATTAGCTAATGTTGATCTTGAGGTTCCCGAGCAGCTAAAATAAAAGAGTTCTTGGGGAGTCAGAACATGAAAGATGATGTCGCTAGCAATAACAAAGAGTGGCAGGTCCCTGGCTGCTGGCCACCCTAATGCCAAGCATTAGACTCAAGTTGAAATAGCGTTAGGATGACATAACATTGAGTCATCTGACAAAAGTTGTTGAACACTGCGTGTTGTTTAATGTGACGTCTGCGGGGCAGGAAGCATCCCAAGTAAGGGAAAAGATGACTCACATTAGCCATGTGAGCACTGCATGTGGGTTGCGTCTGTGCCTTTTTTGTGCCTGAAATAATGGTATATTAGAAACCCTTCTCAATTTACTCTGGGTTACCAGAGAAGCCGCCAGCATGAGACAGCTCTAGAAATGTTGAGGTGAAGCGTGGTGTTGTTTTCTCACATGCTTGCTAATATTAGCATGATGGCAGCCCCTGGCCATGGAGATTCATAAATGAGAGCAAAACATCCTGACTGATCAAGTCCAGACAGATTAGCTGAGGATTTATGTAGACCTCAGCTGGATTTACAGCTAAAGCACGTGTTCTCCCAGTTTCTTTAATACACACCCTCATTACATGCATCTCTCATAACTTCTAAAATGGATTTGATTAGTCAGATATGAAAACTTTCAGGAGACATGTTGCCAAAAGTAGCAGCTCAGTAGAAAAAAAAGGCTGGATTATGAGGGCAGCAGCCCTGGTTGAGCATGTGGAGGCAGGATATGGCTGTAATAGTAGTGTTTGAGTAGAAATGTGGAGGGTGCCGTTTCAGAAACAGCCACAGGTGTCTGGGCAATGGCTTTGCAACAATGTTTTGGTGAATGTGTGTTTGATGTCTAGTTTTGAGAAATTGTTTTATGTATTTCCACACAGTGCATGCTCTCAGCCCATTTTTAAATACGGGCGGTTTGTAGCTTTTTGTAGGGCTTAGTCATATGCCAAATACCATACCAATGAGTGCAAACAGCTCCATTCACTGGATATTCTGACTGGTGTTTTTTCTTTTACAAGGAAGTTTATGTCTTTTCGTTATGTCTCATGCAAGCTGAGGATTATATTTGCTTTCAGATGCAGACACGGACACCTGCAGACACCAGACGAGTAGTTATTTCTGTCTGCTTTTTCAAAGACCGCTTGAAATTTGCCTAATAAACTCCACTCGGCTTTGCTTTTATGAACTTTGGGATGGCTCCATAGGCAGAGCCGGTCATCTATCAATTGAATAATCGATAGGTCAGCGGTTTGATACCCGGCTGCTCCAGTCTAGACAATTAAGTATCTATAGGCAATAAAGTGCTGTAAGTGTGCATGATTGCATTGGCTTGTGGTAAAAAGTTCTTTGACTGCTTAGTTAAAGTAAAAAAGCACTTTATACAGGGAAAGTATAACATTCTGCTAAAACTGACCAGTATAACAGTAAACTCATTTTAAGTGTAGGATGTGGCAGATGTGTGTGTGGGGGTAGGTGAGGAGAATAACTGTTTGTTTAACACTATTGAGTGGTCACACCTTGGCTTCTCACAGAGTAGAGCCTCAGCGAGAGCAAATAAGCCCCTCAGTAACTTTCACCATAGACTCAATATTGAGTCATCTTATGTCACCCACTGGTTTGAGATGGCATTTTGGCTGTTGGAGTCTCCATTTCGGAGCTTGAAGTGGACATATTAATAGAAGAAGATTGTGATAACTTGCTAGCTTGGTTAGCAAAGCTAGAGGTGGGAATTACTAAAACCTGCCATAAGAATGTTGCAATCTGTTCAGTCTCCTTGCGATCAAAAGTAGTCATGAGTGTTCAACACGCAGAAGGTCTGGGCAACCGTTTAGTCACTACAAGTTGGAATTGTTTCTCCAGCCTCCGGATGATGCCTCTTATTTTTAAAACCAAATAGAAATGTGTATAAAATATTAGCAAAAGAAAATTTATCAGAAAATGACGGACTTCAAATTTCACACAGCACTATCCCTCAGAAGTTTAATTGTAAACAATTGCCATAGACCTACTGTTTTTGCGAGCGGTTTCACAGCCTGTTTGTCTATGAATCATCAATCAAACAGACAATATTTGTGTTGTGTAAACAGCAGGCTGTGTGCACTCTATATCATAGCTAGCTGGAAAGAAAAAAGAATTAATAGTGGGTAGTTGTCATTCTGGTGGCTTACTGAGAGTCAGATTACTATAAGCGC